CAAGTCGGATGACGATGGTAGTAATTTTGTGATATACTTGTAATTATAAAGAAAATAATATCAACTACCCTGGTGTTACTACTACATGTAGTTATTGAACTACAGTTTATTTTATTTGTGGTATAATATATGCAAGTAAAGAATGATGGTCTATCTTTAAGTGCGGTGGTCGTTGCGCAGCACATGTTCGAATTTCATGTAAACAAATAATGTATTTTACATGTGTTGTGTACGTCGCTATGAGTTCCATATCAAACAGGACGCGGCACGACGCGACGACTGCCGCCCTTTAAGTACCCAGATTTTGGGATTGCAGATTATTTTCCTTCTATTAACAACTTTTATAAAGTGTGTACAATTATGCTGCAAGCAGATTGTCTTGTGTTCAGTTTTTCCATTCTCCACTAATATAGCGATTATCAAAATTTACGAATGTGAAGACAGCGTATAATTCGATTTGCATACCATTGGCGTTGGATTGGTGTGCTATTTAATAAATAAATGTACACAAATGTTGATATATAGAGATTTAACAACATTTTTTTGCGGAAAATTAGGAATCAATTTAGTATCAAAGTTATTACATACTTTCATAGTGTGCATGACAGTTCCCTGATGTAACTGACCAAACATAGGCGAATCAAACGGTACGCTGTCTTCACACTCATTAAAAATCAAGATTTAAATAGTGTTGACTGCTTTCACATCTACAATTTTCATCCGATATGTGGGGAGTATGATATGTGGGGATGCAATGCCATCAGTATTTATTATACCCCGGTAGTATAATTGTTGTATTGTAATGAAGACATTAAAATACTATGAAATATTTTATTTTTGTTAGAATTCATTTTCGCTGAAAATATTTTTTGGTTGTTTTGTATGGAGTTTAATTTCACTGGTTTTTGACTCCCGTGTGCGAAGCACAAAAAATGAGTCTTTGCAGTTAGTGTGTCTGTATGTGTATGTGTGTGTGTGTGTGTGTCCATCTGTTCCACTAATATCTCAAGAACCATACATCAGTTTTTGATGAAACTTGGTGCATAGATGCAAATGCGCAGATGTGATTAGGTTTTGATAAAAATCCATGCATATTAATTACCTAATTTGCATGATAATTAACTGTTTTTTAGCTGTTCCTTGACTGTTCCACTGATATCTAAAGAACCACTCATTGGATTTTGATGAAAAACTTGGCACACAGATGCTCCAAACTAATGCGCAGATTTGATTAGTTTTGGGTAAAAATCTGTGCAATATTAATTACCTAATTTGCATAATGATTAATCAATTTTCTGCTTTTCCACTGACATCTCAAGTACTAATCACATTTCAATAAAACTTGGTACATAGATGTCATAGGACACTGCACAAACCTGATAGTTTTTAGGGTAATATCAGTATATATTAATTAGCTAATTTGCATAATTAATTAATTTTCAGCTTTTGATAGTACAAGTAGTAATCATCACATTTCAATGAAATTAGATACATAGATGTCATAGGACACTACACAGACCTGATAGTTTTTAGGGTAATATCAGTATACATTAATTAGCTAATTTGCCTAATTAAATAATTTTCAGCTTTTGATATTTCAAGTAGTAATCATCACATTTCAATGACACTTGGTACATAGATGTCATAGGACACTGCACAGACCTGATAGTTTGTAGGGTAATATGAGTACATATTAATTAACTAATTTGCATAATTAATTAATTTTCAGTTTTTGATATTTCAAGTAGTAATCATCACATTTCAATTAAATTTGGTACATAGGACACTGCACAGACCTGATAGTTTTTAGGGTAATATGAGTACATATTAATTACCTAATTTGCATAATTAACTAATTTTCAGCTTTTGATATATCAAGTAGTAATCATCATATTTCAATGAGACTTGCTACATAGATCTTCTAGGATTATGCAGACACCTGATTAGTTTTAATTGGATATTAATTACCTAATTTGCATAATGTTCCACTGATATATAAAGAACCACAAATTGGATTTTAATGAAACCTTTAAAAAAAACTATGCAGAAACCCAATTAGTTTTTGGTAAATATTTATGCTTATTTATCACCTAATTAACATAATTAATTAACACTGATATCTCAATTACTGATCATCACATTTGAATAAAATTTGGTACATAAATGCTCTAGGACAATAGACAAGCCTGATTAATTTTGATTAATATTAATTCTCTAATTAGCATAATAATTCATAATTTTTTTGTTCTGTTCTGTTCATATTAGTTACCTGATTTACATAATTAATTTTCAGCTTTTCCATCAATATCTCATGTACAAGTAATTTTGAATTAATTTTTAAAGTGTATTCAATACTCTCAGCACACGGGAGTTCTTTCTAAGCTTTCTTCGATTGATGAGTTGAATGTAAAACAGGAAAAAAGGTACCTTCGCTGGATTTTATTTTCACTGAATCATTCCTTCAGCAAAAATAAATTATAAGTATTTTAGAGTTGTAGAGAAATTTAATGGGATGAATTCTTTGAACAGAACTTAATAGGGGGAAGTAATTACCGTAAAATCTGTATTAGAAGCCGCATCCCTAATAGAAGTCGCACCCATTCTTTTTGAATAATTGAGAACCAAAAATTCGTCATTTCTCATATGTGTAGATGCTCTAATAGAAGCCTCATCCCCTCTATTGCATTGTACCATTTTAATAGAAGCCGCGGTTTCTAATACAGATTTTACAGTACTTTGTTCATTTACTTCAGTTTTATTATTTGTTGTAATAAGTTGAACATTGCTTATATTTTTCCGGGAAATTTCTTCAAATCTACCACCCCAGGATGACATAATTATGTTTTGCCACTTCTGTTTTACAACCTTATTGTTGCAAAATTTTAATTTTTCATCTTGCATTTAATAACTTAAATAATCTTGGTCTTGTGTATTTGTAATTTAGCACTTTTAAATTTATTTTGAACAAATTTGTTCACATCAGAATAATGTTAAAGCGACAAAGTTGCACTTATGCACCACATAATACACATGATATCTATAGAGCTGTAATTTCTCTGGCTCTTTAAGAGTTAACATCATGGAGGAATTTCTGTTTTGAACTTTGATGTCTATGTTGTGTAATGATGTTCAGAATAAACAGCCAGGAATATAGAAAACTTTTGAAATTGGTGCAGTCACTATATCTAAAAATCTATGACTGAAGATCACCATTGAATAAAGATGCTGTCAGCGCATTTATTCTAACACAGTTGTCTATAGAGAGAATTTAGTATGATGGTTCTGGGCCATTCTGGCCACTTATTTTCATACTTTTGAAGCACTTTAATAATGATGTTTTTGAGGTACAATTTTTTCCAGGGCTTAATTTCTGCACCTTACCAAATACACTAATACCAGTTAGGACTATGCAGTTCAGATTTGTGTAAAATGAAACAGTATTTAACAATGCCTTTACAGTTTTATTGACAAAGGGTATGAATAATTTTGAGTGAGTCAGAATACAAATAAAGTAATATTCTTTTTGTTGTGCAAATGAGGTTACACAAAACTCATTCAGAATCCAACTACGGCCGAAATATTCTGTGTCCACCTGTCGTTTTTCAGAAAAACATGAAAAATTGAAATAATTGTGTTTTTAACTGTACATACATTGCCACCTTGCAAATAATTTTGTGAAACATCACTCCAAATACAACTAAAAACATGAAATGTGTTGAAATGATGCCATTTCAGCTAAAATGTGATATATTAAAGGTAGGTATACTGGTCTTGGCATTTCATTTTAAGTGTACTAGAAGGTCTTATCCCTTAGAAAAACATATCTATAATGCAAATGCTATTTCAGCTAAAATGTGATGTATTGAAGGTAGGTATACTGGTCTTGGCATTTCATTTTACGAGTACTAGAGGGTCTTATTCCTTAGAAAAACACATCTATAATGTAAATGCAAAGGGGCAAATAAAGCTTCCTAAGTGTCAATTGTTCACAAATCTTACCTACCGGTAATTTAAGATGCCCACATATAATCTATAATCTCACCCATGGATTTGCAAAGTGAGAATGTAACTTTAATGTTTTTGCTTTGAGATAATTACACGTTTCAGAATGGAATTGTTTTTTCCCCCAAGAATACTTCAGTATTTCTCATATTTGGATTTCACTGATTGTTATCCTATAGACAGTATTGCCCTTTATAAACTGCCCGGTATCGCTGTATTTCGGCTATAAAGTATATGAACTAGAGAGCAGAAATTTTTATTTCAAAGGCACAATTATGCATTTTTGTCTCCTTCAAATCCAAAATGGCCGACTGGAGATCATTTGCAAATGTAGTTCCAAGGAGCCATATCTCGTACATGCTTGAACCAATCAAGTTTATTAAACTTTAGAGATACATCAAACATATTGGAAAAATACGAATGCATTTTTGTCACAAAATCAAAAATGGCTGGCTGGCAAATACAATTCCAGGGAGCCGTATCTCATACATGCCTGGACTAATCAAGTTTAAGCTTCACACATTAGGTCATGTATATCTTGTCTGTGATACAAAATGAGACATTGACAATACACAGGGATTTTTTTAAACAAGGGAACCTCTGGCAACCATAAAATTCTGATTGACCAGGGATCACATGTGGCCACAGTCTTCAAGTGTGACCTGTCTGAGAGTAATTTTGGCCCCAAAAAATGCTTGCAATAGAATGCTCTATTTTAACGTATCAAAACTACACACCCTGGTAGGGAGAACCCTATCTCCTCCACTTGGTGGTGTCGCTGAATTGCAGTGCTCTCTTGCAGTTTTTTTCTAGGAAAACCCCTGATACACCTAGTGTCATTGTATTAATAGGCATTCAGGATGTTCCATTTGTGAGAACTGTGTTCAGGTGGTCGAATTAATTATTTCATTCATAACCTGCTCATACATTTAACCAGAATTAAAATAAGATATTAAATTGAAAAGACCAGTAAGCAGAATCCTAATTATTTTTGTTTATTTTGAAATCAGAGGTGAACTGAAACAGACAAAACATCCAGGCGATGGGGAAACAATGCATGGCTGCCCCACAACCATTAGCTGTTGTGAAAAACACACGATTAACCAAGCATAGAAACTGCCTAAGCTGGCCCTCATACTTGTCAGATTAGGGAACTGGTCATTTCAGTCAGCCACATTGATCAATCACGTTCTTGCCTAGGATTTTGAGTAAATGCAAAACCTCTTCATCAGCCATTATTTATCGGACTTTAGCTTGCGGATAAACCCGCTGGTTGAAGACTAACAAGTCTGTGGTTGGTCCAAGAGAAGGCCATAGCATGGGAGAGGAAATAGCTTTGAAAGACTACCCAAGATTATGCGCATTTCATTTTGGAGAGGTTAAGTTTTGTTACAAAATCTCAGAATAACATAGATCCTTATACATGTAGTGACAACAAATTAGAACTAGTCACTTTGGGGGCGCTAGGACTGCAAAGGTTGCCAACTTTAGGTTCAAATTTTTGGTTTGAGTTGAATATTTAAATTTTTCTCCATATTGTAGCTTGACAGTTGAGGCAACCAAGATGAGGTGTACAACAACTTTAATAATAATTGCAAGAAAATTCCCCCAAAATCATAAACAAAACATTGCACAACTTTATCGAAAATTACATTGATCAATTTTCTACAGAGCCATGCATGGTGCAGTCACCGTTATCAAATTTAAGATACACAATTTTGTTTATAGTAATATAGTTAGAACATAAACATGTCAGAAGTATGGATCCAGCGGCTGATGCTTGATTATGATGATTTTTTAACATTAAAATGATCGACTCAAACCTGGCAAAAAAAAAAGTCACTCACTTTGTGCTCGACTTAAATTACCTGTGAAGATCTGGAAAACGTTCAACAAATCAGGAAACTTGTTTTTTTTTTTATTTTCACACACACACATACTGGTGTAACCATAGTTGTGACGCCACACATTGAACAACTTTGAATATAGTTGTGATATGAACCAATTACAATGCAATACAACGTAGAATTGCGTTTTAATTAAGTTTAATAAAATAAAAGTTGAATATCCAGTGACTGGACTTAGAAATGTTTGCGAAACTTAGGTTTAGTAAACATACCTTCCCCGTTCACTAAACCTAAGCTTCGCAAACTTGACTTAAATTCGAATAAATATTAATATAATTTGAAACATTGTGAAGCCAGGGTAAGTGGCTTCATAGCGTTGGCATGTCCCAGGTGCAATGGCTTCATAATCAGCCATACACACACACACACACACACAAGAAAGCAGGACACAATATAATTTATATCATTTTGATACCTTTTATGTACATTGCAAGTTATCTCTTAATAAAAACAGTCCAGCATGTGCATGTATACTCAATGTTGGCCAAATGGCTCGCAATGAATAGTTGTAAACAACTAATTCCTGTGGCAGGGACACACTCATTACTGTACTAGAAAATGTTTTGCAACTAACAAGATTTTCAAACTGAATAAATGTAACCAAACTGGTTCAGGTTACTGGAGAATACTTTATTTTTGCTTGGAATTTATTTTCGCTGTTTTCGCTGAAGGGATGATTCCGTGAAAATCCAGCGAATATACTTTTTTTTCTATATTTCATATTAAACTCATCAAAAATCAGTGAAAATAAATTCCAAGCAAAACACATAAAAAGCCTTTTCAGCGAAAATTAATTCCAGCGAAAATAAAGTATTCCACAGTAGTAGATTATAAAACGGATAAAAATGTCGCAGGATCTACCTGCACCATGTCTACTTCACAATCTACTTCTACTTCACAATTAACTTCTTGTACCATTTCACATTCCACCTGCTCTTTGTGGGTTTCCAAATGTCTTTTCAGTTTGGTATTTGTGAAAAATCGTTTCTCACACCTGAAACAACCATACTTCCTCTCCCCTTCGTGTACCGACCTAACATGCAGCGTCACGGCTCGGTTAGTTTTAAAAGTTTTGTCACATAAATGGCATTTGTTTGGCCGCGCATTTGGTTCAGTATGGATAGTTCTCCTGTGGAGTTTCATTGATAGCAAACTTGTATATCTTTTTCCACAGATATCACATAAAAACTTAAGCTTATCATGAATTGCACACAGATGCCTTTTCATATTACTAAAAGATATGAACGATTTGCCACATTTGGGACATCGATATCTCTTTAAAGTTGAAGGATCGATGTGTTTTCGTCGTTGATGACTATTTAAAGCATTGTTAGTCTTGAATGCAACACCACACACATGACACAAAGCAGATTTGTTATCGCTATGAGACAAAGAATGACTCTGTAATCTATCTTTATGTAGGAATATTTTACCACAAATATCACACGGATATGGTTTTTCACGCTTATGCTTTTTAATATGCCATGCTAATGATATTTTCATACCAAACGCTTTGCTACAATACTCGCATTGATATTTCAATACACTGTGCTCGAGAGCTTGGTGTTGGTTACGAAGTTCAGTATTGTCGAAAAACTGTCCACACTCGGTGCAATCAACGTTCAAATGTATCTTTTTGACATGTGCATTCCTAGTATATTCAAAAGAGTATACCTTCTCACAATGAGAGCATGGAAAGGTTTCTTTCTGTTGACTGATTATACATCTTTTTAAATGAGCTTGAAGGTCCGTCTTATCACCTACAGATTTCCAACAATGTTCACATGTGAATGGCGATTTCTTCTGAGGTTCAAAATACAAGTCACATTCATCACATTGATATTGCTTTATCCCATCGATTTCTCTGCATAATGGTAACTGCCTGAGATTAACATACTCTTTATTGCAGTGTGTACATACTTGTTTGCAGTGAGTCCTGTAGTTGTGTTTACGTAGATATTTTTTCTCCGTGTACTTCCTATCACAGTGCTCACATTCATAACGCTGCACTCTGCGAGAATGAACGGTATCCATATGACTCTTTAAATTCTTCTTATGTGAGAATTTTCGTTCACATAACATGCAGGCACCTTCTTTTATACATTCTGTATTAGGTGCTATTTCCATGTGACTAGTTTTGTCAACTTGATGTTGTTTCAGTTTATGTCTGCGTAGCCCACTCGTTGTTGCATACGACTTATTACAAACAGCACATACACATGGTGGCTCTGATTGTTCATCTTTTAAATTAATTTTAGCTAGTCTCTGACTTGAGGTAACGCATGTACTTTTTGCATTTTCTTTGTGATATTTTGCGTTGTGTCTCTGAAGACTACGTTCCCATACAAATGTCCTTGAACACAATGAACAATAATTCATTGCTTTACCTTCAACCTCTGGTGTAATTTCTGTTGTTTTGGACTTCAATGATTTTTTTTGAGTGTCGTCTGACGTGCTAACAATCGTCTCCATCTCATTATGTGGTATTTCCATAGAAGCCTGTTTTTGACCTCTGGTTAATATTTGTTTACAAGTAACATCACATTCCTTCAAGTCAGCAATGGTTTTAGAACTAGATTTCTTTTTTATTTTCATAGATGTAGGTAACCTTGGCAACATACATGAATCTCTATCACTTGCACCATCAAGTAAATTATTTTCATCCATCTGATCAGGAAGTGTAGAAATGTGTTTTTCGTTATTTTTCGTCTTGCCTTCAGTGCTTTGCATTTCTGAGTCTCTCATCATTGACGTGGATAATCTTTCCGGATTTTCTGCTTCAAATGAACTACTCAGATTAGGATGGCCTACTTCATTAGACAACTGTAACATATCCTTACGAATCCTACCCGAGAAATCAACTTTTTTCATGTCCTGGACTGTCTGGCTTGAGCCAATGTGTCCACGTTTTACATTTTCTTTATGATATTTTGCATTGTGTCTCTGAAGACTACGTTCCCATACAAATGTCTTTGAACACAATGTACACTTATTCTGTGCCTTTCCCTTTGCATTTGGTTTTATTTTAGACTTCAATGATTTATTTTGAGTATCAGCTGACATGCTAACAATCGTCTCCATCTCATCATGTGGTATTTTCTTCACAACCTCAGTGTCTAGGTGCAAATGTTTTTGACCTCTGGTTAAAGTTTCATTACCAGTCACATCACATTCTTTCAAGTCAGTAACGGTTTCAGAACTATATTCCCCATTCATTTTCATTGACTGTTCATTAACCACAGGTAACCATGGCAACATACATGAATCTCTGTCATTGCAGCCAATCACATCATCTACTAAACCTTCTTCATGCTCTTCATTGTCTGTCTGATCTGGGAGTTCAATCTTTGCAGAATTGTATTCTTCATTTTTTTTGTTTTCCATCCTGCCCTCAATGTCCTGCATTTCTGAGTTTCTCATCAAGGACATGGATAATCTTTCCTGATTGTCTGCTTCCATTGGGCAGCTCCGATCGTGATGTACTTCTTCATTAGACGGCTGCAAGATATTCTTACAAATTCTATCCAAGGAATCAACTTTAAAGTGCTCAGCAACATTATGTAGCTTTTTCACCTCCTCTACAGTGGTTTTCAACATACCACTGTAAGCATATTCTAGAAATAATTTAATGGTGGCAGCTTCAACATCAACAAGTTCCAGCATGTTTATTTTAGGATTAGCTTGAAACGTGTCAGCGCAGACTGGACTACAGCTTGCCAAGACTGCTTGGTGACATGGATACTGTTCACCACCAACACAAATTTTGATATCTGTGAACAAATTATTCTTTCTCTGTTCATTCAATCGACAAAGTAAGGTTCCTGCATAGTTGGATTCTAATAATAAGATATTGATGTCTGAACAGTTTGTTATTTCATCACTCGCCATTGTGACTCTACAATAAATAAAACTGTACGGTTAATGTAAAAAGTTTCCATTTACAACACGCTTATAGATTAATTTATACACATTTTATTGTTTTCTGGGTGATGTTTTATTGTTTGTCATGTCAAGTTAAATTTCAGCCGTGTTTCTTATTTTTCTTTATCAGCAGTCACTTTGTAATACAAAAACAAAACTTGTTCAATATATTGTATTGCATGTGATGATCAAAATATTTGATATGCAAAATAATCAAACTTGGTTATCTTGAAGTTATTATTCAGTTTTACTCATACCAAAACTTGAATCCCCCTCATCCATGTGACTCTTGCTGGCATATTATTTTTAAAATAAAAATCATAATGCAGTAAAATTATTGTTGATCAACAAAAAAATCTAACACGTGCAGCATAATGCCTGAGGTGCTTTAAGTAAGTAAATATGGCCATTATGAGATGACTAGTACCGATATGAACCACAGTCGCTCTAAAGTCTCATACCATTACTATCGGTAAGATCTGAAAGGAGCGAAATGATTACTCAGCGTTATCACCAATGACTGTTACCGGTACAGTGAGTGTAAAGAAATAATATTATGATTGATTTTTTCGATAAGCACTGCGAGATGTTTACAGCAGAGCACCAATGTTTGCATTTTTACTGCCAGGCACAGGGCCCGGCATGTTTGGTCTGATGTTCCGTGTAAAGCTGAAGCTTTGGTTTTGAAAAAAAAAAGGTTGAGTTTACATATCTGCTGGTACTTTAACTTGGTCATGTATGTACTCTGGTTTCTACTATCCCCCTACCTGCAATAGTCGCATAGTATCATGATTTTTCAGAGTGAACATGATCTAGACGTCTCAGAAGAACTTCTTGAAAGGTGAACAATGTGCTATGCTCTTCGGTGACCACCGAACTCGGCCAGATTTCTACTCGGCCAGTGACCGATCACGGCCAGTGACCGTACTCGGCCAGCATATGTGCATAAGGGTGTCAATGATGCAACAGCGAGCGCTGTATTACAGACTGTCAGAGTCATATCACAACAAAATATAAAAAATGTACGGGCGTCAAAGGGTGTCGATTTCAGTGATGCCTATCGTGCTTTGTTAATAAAAAAAGGGTTGTCGATTTCAGTGACGAAACAGCCAGCGCTGTGTCTTTTGTCATATCACAGTAAAATGTAAAAAAAAATAG